CTGAAAAGCGACCCCGCAGACGTCGTCATTGAATGCATGGACCTTTGCGTTGCCGTATCGTCGACTTTGGAGGACCCCGGCCCACCACCCAACGCAGCTTTACCCCCTGTCCCAGAAATACCCTCGCAATTCACTCTGGACGATCAGGACGGCACAACAGTACACGAATCAGATGCAAGCTGGAGGAATACCCAGTCGACTATGAACGTTTCGTCAAGCGATGCTCCAGATGTTCCCGATCTTGAACTCCCACCAAGGAGCAAGTCTATCAAGTCTGCGGTATCTATCAAGTCCATGGCCTCACCGTTGCTGAAAGGTCGCGACATGATGGATTCTCCAACACTGCCGCCCACTAAAGATACAAAGAAGCCGGATATGTCTGGTCAATCCGCACAGCGGTTCGTGGCACATCAACCCGGCCTTGACAGTTTCGCCCAATCAATCTCCGGCAATCAATCTACCCACCATGACTTCCAAAACCACACCATGGCGTCTTTGCAAAGAGAGATCATGCTACTTCGGAATGACCTCAACTTTGAGCGGTATCTCAAATTGCAGCATCTTGCTCACATCGGACAGCTACAGCGGAAGCATATCAAAGAAGCGACTGTGGAGGCGGAGACCCAGAATTTGATCAATACCAACAAGACACTAAAGGCCAAACTCGCCAAGGCAAACGAGCTGTACGCCCAACTCAAAAAGGAAACGCTTACGAGCCGGAGCCAGTCCAAGAAATGGGAAAGCGAGTTGAACAACAAGGTCCGGTCGTACAAAGAGAGTGAAAAGACCTGGCACAGTGACGAGGGCGGTCTGCGATATGAGCTCCAAAGGACGCAATCAGACTATGAGCAACTCAAGAAGATTGTAGAGAGAGCTGAGGCAGAGCGACTAAAAGCCCAACAACGGACCAAAGCGTTGGAATACGAGCTTGAAGACTACGCGGACATCAAGCGGGAGCTTGAGGGTGCGCAAGATAAGATCATAGCATTCGAAGACCAGAGGAAGGAGCTACACACCCTCATTCAGGAGCGGAACGACTTGCGCAATGATCTCGAAATCGCAAACATGCGATTGAACAGCCGTGAGCAGGAACGCGAGCGGTCGATCAAGGCTTACGAGCGCCGGATTATGGAGCTCGAGTCCCGACTACAATCTTCCGACAGAAGCACTGGCAAGCCAGGGCAACTGCCGTCTTCCGTGCAGCAGATGCTCGACTCTGCGCTTGCAGCGAGCAATGCCAAAATGCAGCAACTCAAGAAGACTCATTACCGCCTCCTTGAGCAACACACCGAGCTGCAGATGAAGTACCATGAGCTCGAAGGGGAGCGAGAGGCTGAGATGGGACAGCTCTACCCCCGGGACAAGTCTGGTCATATCGATTTTGGCACTTCACGGGTCAGTCGCAACTCCAGCATCCGACAGGCGACCAACTACAGCTCGAGATATTTGACACCTCTATCTACTGCCGAGGCCACCCCAAGCGAGGAGCAAGAGTATTACGAATATCGATCGCCGGACTCGGTCCACAGCCCAGGATCAGCCGCGTCACCACCTCGTCCTGCTCGGCTTGAATCACTACAACAGGGGAAGCCGCAACGATCTCAAACAGCGCCATCGCCGTATCCTGGGTTTGGTGGCGGATACGGACCAAACTTTTCCGCAGCATATGATGCGTCTCTTCACAATCAGTTCCAGGCTCCAAAGCCTCAATCTAGCGGGCAAAGTAGCTTCTCCGCCGACACCGATGGAAGCTCAAGTAAGGAGAGAAAAGACAAAGTAGACCCAAAATCGGAGGTCCGCATATACGGTCGGGGTAAGTTATCGGTATCACGTCCTGCAACATCAGAGGCTGACTATGAGACAGGCGGCGCTCAGAACATCGGAAAGAAGGTCAAAGAGAAGGAACAGAAGAAGCCTTCGTCTTCCAAAACTGGTGGCTTCCGCGGCCTCAAGGGCATAATGTGATCGGATTGGATCACTTACTTGTTTTGCATGTGGTGGTGCCGATCGAAGGCGCCACCATCTCATCAGACGGAATTTTGCGCGACGCGCCTCTGTCACACTCGGTTATCTTCATCCTTCTATCTCGTCTCGCTTCGGCACGACAACAACGGCCACTTCGTCATCACAGTCGCGACTCAACATATTTTTGTCCACTACTCTTTCTTTTGTTCATTAGTTTCGCATCTATGTATAACGACACTGCATGACACATAGGCCGTTTCAACGCCTACGACTGGTTGCATGGCCGCATAGTCCTCAGATACCTGCCTCCAATGGCATCCTAGCATCGACTTACTTGTCGACTGTTTCATAGTCCCAAGACTAATAGTGTAATACATTGATACCAATCACACCCATTGTTCTCTCCATGCGTACACTCATGCACCAGCATCATACCGTCCCTCCAAAACGCAAGCATGTATCGAAGGCGCCCACAGCAAGAGCGCCCTCGTGCCAAGACACTAACGCGCTCTCATTCGCGGAGAGCAGCCGAGACCTGACAACCACCTGGACCGCACCTGCCATTCAGATCCCCACGACACCACCAACATGCCGAAGATCGAATCGCGACGATCAACATCCACAGCCTCAGACCTAGGGACGCATCAGGCCCGCAACTACTGCAACCGCCATCGCAAACAGTAAAGTTTTGATGGGCCCCGAGTACTTGCTTTTTCCTCGCCTGTCCACACACTTGCAACAGTCAGCCCCCTTGAACCTAGCGCCGTTGGCACTATTCGGAAAATAGCTCACAGGAGATGTCATCCCGCACTAACACGTACGACTAAGACAACGGCCGCCTTGCTGTTCTCCTTCCTTCCTCCCCACGTTCGCGGCGGCCGGGAGCGCGAGCGTACATAAAACGGGTTGAGCGTGTTTGGTACTGTGCTGGGTGCCGTAACGTGGGGATCCTGGTCTGACATGCACTACTCGGTAGATAACCAACTACGACTGATCGCATAAGGCATCCATACGGCAGATACGCAGCACAAGCCAAGACCTATCACGACCCCGTCGGGCTTTTCATAAGCAAATGCTTTCTCGACTCACGCGTCCTTATCGTGCGAAAGGCTGACTCGTGCTGCTGAGTCGGTGTCGGTTGTCGCTACGAATAGTGCCGATGGTTCAACAGTGGATCAACTATTCGCGGAGACGGGTGCTGCCACACTGCAGGCGCCGAGGAGTGGAGAGGGTGTGTGTTCGGAGGTGCGCTAAGTTGTGCCGCGCAAAAGGAAGGGGAGAAATTGAGGAGCGGGTGGGTACCCGAGCTTGAGATCTAAGGGGGATTCGGGTGATTGGCTGGGTTGGGGAACCGGTCGTTGAGGGCGACGATGAGTCTGTGGACGACACATGTAGTCTCCTGGGCTTCGCGCTCGAACCTCGAGTCTTTAGTAAGGACCACTGGGTGTGCATGTTGGTGGGTTGGTAAGTCGATAGCGGTAGCCTACAAGGGCTCTTCACGTGAACCAGGCGTCTTTACACACAACCCCGGTAGCGACAAATGACTCTGCAATGAAATTGTGATCTATAAAAGACGTATGTAGCAGGAAAGCGGATGTATGATATGCAGTCATGTCAACGCAAAGCTGATATGTAAGCTTATATCCAGGGTCAAGGAATGACATTGGCCTTCTAAGATTACATTCTCGTTGGCAAACGTGCTGGTTCTATGTACTACATAGTCTTTGAGCGCATTGTAGTCTGGAACATATGCAACTAGACCCACTTAGCCAGACATTATCTTCTTTATATGTACAACTCTCCCAATGATATACATCTGTATCTCAAACGCATATCAAGTACTTTCCATCCCATGAGCTCCAGCTCATCGGCGCATTCATGTGGTAGCGGTACATGTTCCTTAAGACCAAATGTGCTCCGAGGCATCTTTGCACGTCGATAATCGAGAGGCACTCTTATGGCCTACATATCAAAAGTCTGGTTATGCGGACTGGTCGAGTTCGCATGGATTAGTGAACGGTTCTATAAACTCTTTAGTTAGCTAATGTACATGAGGTTTAATAGAAAGAGAATGCTTTGAATTCACACTAGTTTCCTGCGACCAATCTACTATGCTGCTATTGTGCAATCTAAAGTCTTGCAAAATCTTTTCTCGAATCGCGCATCTAGCTTCTGATCTTTGTCTATGCCCTCCTTCTACGTCTCCTTCAACGGTTCGATTGTTAAATAGCGCACTTACAGCCTGTACACTAAGAATATCTGAGCTTTGAACCTTATGGAGGTCTGGGCGATTGGCTGATTTGGAGATCTGGTCTTTGGGAGGGAGGAAGACTCTGAGGACGACGCATGTTATAAGAAGGCATGACTCGCACTCATAGTGCGACTGCCTTCGTAACACACATCTATCGGTTTCATCTCGAACAGTTCAAAAGATACATAGTAGTAGGAAAGGGCATCCATGCAACAAGGTTAGACTAAGGTTACGATAAGATGCAAGCGTATATCACACATTAAGAAGGACATTAGTTTCTCAAGAACAGGACGTCGTTGACGAACGTGCTAGCTATCTGTACTGTACAACCTGAGAACATCTTAAGTCTACAACACGTATGCAACCAGCATTCTACCACCTAAACCGCCGCAGCTGCTTGTCCTTTGATCGCAATACCATTCCCCTCTTGTTGTAGTATCTGATCCATGTACTCAACCGCCTCGATGTACAACGACCTCTTCACCTCTAGATCTCTTACATCAACACTCTTAGCTTTCTCTCTGTAGAGCATGTCGCGAAATGCGCGGTTGAGTCTTCCTAATTGTTTATTACTTCGGTACGAGATGTAGGGTTGCTTGCGGTAGTCGCTTCTCTTCTCCGGCGCTTGGATTTCATTACAATACTCCACCGGCTTCGTTCTTAGCATGGATCAGTGGACGGTTTCCCAAACTCTCTGTGAAGTAGTGTACTCGAAACCCAATGGAAAGAGCGTAATTTGAAGTCACAACTATCTACCTCGACTGGATGTTGCTGTTGTACAATCCTAGATCTTGCCGAACCTCTTCTCAAATCCAGCGACCAACTTCTCGAACTCCTCCATATCGTATTTCTGCGCTTCTTCCAACGGCTCGAAGCCGGATGTCTGGTCGAACATATCCCTTAATCTATCTCCAAATGTCTGCCCGTGCTGAATTATCTCTTTGGTCTTCTCCACCAACTCTCCCATGAGCTTCGCTTCGTTCCGGATCAACGCGCTCTTGAGCTTCTCTAGACTTCCAGGCTCTCCTGTGAGAACTAATTAGCTTCTTACACCCGAATTTGTATGCGTGGAACTATGACTTACTCTTCTCACAGACGTCCTTGTCTAGGACCTTCGCTAAGGTGTCGCAGACCAACTTAAAGGCCTTTAAGGAAACGTCGCCGCGGGCACCGTCCATGATACCGAACCACTTATCGTCCGCGACAAACAGATATGCGATGATAGTTTCCAATCCAGGGAGGACGATCTTCTTGGAACCTGAATAGAAGTGTGACAGTTCCTTGATCAGCTCGAACTGATCGCGGTCTTCTCTGGCTGCTACTATGTTCACGTCGTATCGGAACTCGACACGACACGGCCGTGTAATGTGTGCATACAGTGGCTTCTTCTTTCCTTCTGAGTTGATGTGGCCGACGAACATCTTGTAGTCGCTTCCGTTGCTGTTGACGACCTGGTCCTGAAATATGAATGCGGATGGAGCTGGAATTTTTGCGAAGCCGTCGGGCGACTTTTCCTTTCCGTAACTCTCCAGTTCTTTCAGGGTCAGCAAAGGCGCAGGCGCTTTCTTCTTCGCGGTCTTGGTCTTGGGAGGCATGTTGTTGATGAGTGTGTAGTGTTGGTATTGTGACGGAGACGATCAAGAGTAAAAAACCGTCGAGCGAGAGGTTGACTGCGTCAAAAGTTAGAGCGCAATTTTTTTAATTTCCGCAAGTGAAGGTGAAGGTGAGCTCGAGCTGTCTGCCGCTCTTGGCCAAGAGCATCCACTTACAGTCTTGTTCCTCTTCACCTCCATTGCTCTCGTTAGCTACTCTTTTCGCTCAGCCTTGTCGGTTCTTTTCTTTTCTTTCCACTCTTCTCGTTGCGCCTGTAGCGTTCGTCGTCTAGCTTTTACTCTGCTGAGCTTCGCTTTCGTGGTGTTGGTCATGTTTTCTCGTTCTCCAAGCTCGGCCTTGAGGGCTTGAACCTCGCGCTCCAGTGTAAGCTGTCATTCTGTTTCTCGGTTTCTAGAATATTCCTACAGCAGCTGGTCAGCGGCGTGGTTACACAAATGACTTCATCTCTAGCTGCAAGTACTCACGGCCTGGACCTTGAGTTTGCTGAAGCCTGCGTGAAGATGTTGGTTGCTTGTCGCAAAGCGAAGGCACATGTACTCACTCAGTGACGAATACTCAGGTGCTGTGTCAGATGTGTTTGTGAGCTGGACACGGGCGAGAATTTTCGATGAGGACTTTCACTTCGTGGATGCAACATTGGGAAGTCGATCAGCTCTTCTGCATGCTGGAGTGTATTGATACCCTTCTTGTATTGCTGCACCCTCTGACTGGATCTCAAGAGTTATTCGTCATGAGACCTCGTCGCGGATGGATTTCGATGTTGTGCGCAATTCCTGCAAGCCAGTCTGAAACTTCTGAGTATGTCCAGTTACATCAGTTCCAGTGTATGTTCCAGTTGACCCTTTGTAAGGAAGACAGAGTTGATGACGCAATCGATCAAAGCCAATCCACGCTTGCGTTGCGGGCCCATGGCGGGATTCATGTCGTGGAGATCTTGCGCGCTGCCCAACAAGTCAAAATGACTGTCGTAATAGGTTCGACAAGATTGAGCGTTCGGGATCAGCGAATGCAGTTGCAGTCTTTCGCTGGGGCAGTAGCGAATTGATGTATCAGTCGCACATGTCCAAACGGGCACACCGCCGCTCTTCCGCGAATGATGCCCAACGAGGTGCATTTGTCGTTTGACATGTGAATGTGCCTTCTCTCAGGCAGATCTTTCCAGTGGCTTCGTACAAAGTCAGTCTGGCAATGACTATGTTTTAGTCCACTAGACTGAATGTAATGTACTCACTGGAACGCCTTCGATGGTATTGCTTCCCGGATATCATCTGCAGAGGCAGGTAAAGCTGGAAGCTGAGTGCGCGCCATGCTAGGGTGATGCTGATTCAAGAGCCACTCCAAGCCTGATGATGTGCGCACTCGAACGATGGACACGAAGACAAGTGGTGACTCTAGCAGGCAGCTAAGCAAACAGATGTAATGATGACAATGTCAAATTTAAGAAGCAGTGGAGAAGTTTTCCACGTCTTGTCGCTTTGGATGCGTAAGCGGTGTGAGCAAGCGCTACGTTCGACAGCGACAAAGTAAAGGTAAAACCAGAGGTGCACATGAGTGTTGAAAAAACTAGGGTGAGAGCGAACAAACATTTATCTTATAATTATACGAGAAGTTGTAAGCGGTGTATAAATGGACAGCAATTCAAGCAATAATATAAGACAGAGCATTTAGACACCGGAGCCGGATAGACTTTGCGCTGGTCTCTTACCTGCTCGCATTATTTCTCCAGCGTCCCGTTTACTCTGACAAATAAAGCCCAAGGTGAAAGTAGATGACGAAAGCAAAAATAAAGCCTATGGTAAAGTTGCAAAAAAAAGAGCAAAATATAACAAACGCACTCATCCGCGACCAGCCAAGGGCAGATTCGAACCTCAAGCCATCGTCAAACAGTAGTATCGTGTTTTACCACTCAACCACGCTCTAGGCCGGAGATGTTATATGAAGTAACAAGGAATTAGATATAATGTATACTATTCTCCGATGATAATTACTGCAAGCGCAACAGTTTGAGCTGTGTGGTAATTTCTGATAAAGCGCTGTCACTGCTCGTGTGCGCGCAACCATAACAAGCGAGGTGATGTAATTGGAAGTGAAAGAGCAGTCCTGAATGAAATTATGTTAATGATGTCAGAATTATACACCTAGGGCTCTCAGGAAAAGAGTCGAAATAAGGAACAAGAAAGGATGAGTACGGTCATTGATCATAAGCTGGGATTATATACAAGTCGCGATGTACCCGTCTTCGCCCTAAATCACGCATCAGTATCCTCAGATAACAACCCGATACAACCTCACTCACCCCCAACACGTGTGTTGACTTACGCCTCATACACAACCTTGCTAACCTTGTACTCCACCACAACACCTGGCTTTCCCTCGCCTGTGACGAAATGGCCGGCAGCGACATACGTCCCATTCTGCAGGTCCTTGTACTTCTCGTTGCCCGTCTCGAACGTGAAGTTGACAAACGAGTCGCCGTAGTCCGTGGTCTTAGCATCCGAGGCACCAGAGAGCACCTTGCCGACACCAGGCGTGAGCTTCACGGTACCCTTGTAATACATTGCCAGAATCGTTCCATCGTGATTCCTATATTACAATGAGAATTCAATATCCTCTCGAACAGGCATGCGCATCTTTGCACTCACTTGACTTGACTCCTGACATCCAAGCGCATGTTTCCGCCATCGGCGTCGTTGTGAATGTAGTCGTAGCCGGTACCGTGCAGCTCTCCATCCAGCTTTGGCTCGAAGCCCGGTTCACTCTTCACTGTACCGGATACCATCGGGACGATGACCAACTGCGCGCCATGCTGGCCTCCGACTTGCATCGGCGCATCGATGTCGACGCGGACGGTGAAAGCGGGCTGGAGAGATGGGAAGCCTGACATTTTTTTGACGTTGCAGAAGGACTTTGGTGATGTTTTTGTAGATTCAATTGCTTGTATTGGATGCGATCCTTGGTATGTACGATGAGTTTGGGGTGCAGCTAAGCTATGTAGTTGAATGCGGAAGCTACCCCTCTGACCCCACTTTGAGGGGAGGAGCTTCCTTCTTTCCGCACCGGTGACGGCATCAAATGAGAGGCGTCCGCTCTGTGCACATGTAGCATTTGTATTCCGGGGTCACATGAACGGAACGATGCGCTATCCCGAAACTTAAAATCCACTGATCCTCCCCTTCTTTTTCTTCTTCTTGTCTAGCTTTCCTCCAAACTTGCCCCGCTCTACTTGACTTTGTGGCATCATGAAGCCACCAGTCTGGAATGGTACCTGGCTTTGACTTTGGCTCTGACTCGGTACCTGACTGCTGCTACCTATACCACCCAGCGTGGGCCCTGGAGAGCTTCTCGGATATGCGTTAAGTTGACTTGCAGTTTTGGCCCTCATGAGCTCGTTCTCGCGTTGTTGGCGCTTTTCCCTACGTTCCTTCTTCTTGCGTTCCTTCTCGCGTTGTTGCTGGCTCTCTTCATCTAGTTCTTCGGCCCGAAGAGTACGCTCCATACTGACCCAATTGTACACATGCGGATCCTTTCCTAATTCCCAATGCGCGAGACTTTGGGACACGGTCGGTGGAATGATAACCGGGTCCTTGGAAGTCTGAAGATACTTGCTAAGCCGACTGAGGGGGTCTGATGAAGCTGGTTCCATGGAAGGTATCTCGGGTGGGGACGATCCATACACAGAGGAAGGAGGCAAAGACGAAGGTGGTATAGATGAGTATGGCGGTGTCGGTAACGGCTGAAAGGCAGAATATCTTGAGGTGAAGTTGAAGGTAGCCTCCTTTGGTCTTGCAGGCAAGATGGGTAAGGCTACGGCACTGTCCTGACTCTGCCCACGCTGTATGCTAACAGTTGGCACTTGGATCCGATCGTCACGTATACACGTGCTTGAGAATAGCAACTCCGTAGCAATTCGCCGAGCCAGAATTTCTTGGCGTTGCCGAACGCGAATTGGCATATCGGGTGGCATAGACGCAACCCACGTCTGGAGTATACTATCGTATGCATCGGAAATGGTGAGGTCGCTGTCGTCGGTCAAACCAAGTACGCGCATAGCTGCGATACGCTGAACATCCACAGTATCTTGACCATTTGGCGAAGAGAACAGCTCTTGGAAATTGGACGAAGCTTCGTCAATGTCTGCAACATGGAACTGTGCGTGCGTAAACTCCATCCTGCAATTGTTAGTTCAGAACGCAAACAAGACCCAGTTCACTTACAGAGTACCCAATGGTAAAGGTGGCAAGTCTGCACCAGTCGCCAGCATTTCGTTCACCTGATCCATGACGGCCACCGCATCGATGGTACCCGAGACCTGCTCCGCCGCGCTCTTTGACTGAGATAGAATCTCGCCCAGAGAAGCATTGTCCCGAGTTTCCGGCACGGCAGCACCGTCCGAGGATCTGCGCAATTCTGGCTGCTGCCTGCCAATCTTGGAACTTGGTAACCCTCTGTCGATCAATCCATTAGGCACTATGAAATCGTCGTCTTTGTTGCGTGGTTTCGAGTTAAGGATAGGGTTTCTAGGGCGTTTGATCGTGCTTCGCGTGAAATCTACAACGGCATGGTCATTCTCGGTGGTATGTCCTGTCGAGGTGCTCCGACTCCAGACAACCAGCTCGCGCATACTTAAGTCGGAGAGCGTCACAAACAGTTGGAGGAAAACGCAGTCTTTCTCTGAGTATTCCCATTGCATGGGCTCGATGTACAAGTTGCTTATGTGCGCGGATCCACCGATGGGAAGGTCTAGCAGGGTCGGATCTGAACTGGTAACGAGGCCGGAAGAATCTGAGGTATTGCTGCGGAAGCTTTGTATTTGGACCAAGTTGTTGACTCGAGAGTGGAGCATAACACATGTTTCTGTCAGGCTGTCAGTGAGATTTTTGTCGAGCGATTGATCTGCAACTTACCATCGTCCGACAGCATCTGTACGCTTATGTGAAGTGTGAAATCCTCCACGCCCCGGTAGTGCCGCCAGGATGTGAGG